TTATTTATTGTTGTTCTAATCTGTCCTTGTCTAATTTTTTTTTCTGACAGCCATACTATTCCATCTCTAGTCGTATTTTTTAAGCTTTTATTTTTATATTTTTTTTACCGTGAAAAGAAACTCACACAAGGCTGCGCAACTATGAGGCAATTAAGGCAATTGCTTAAGACCGCCATAAAAGTAATCTCATTATATTACTTATGTATTTCTTTTAACGTATTAATTAGACTTTGTTAAATTATTAATTACCAAAAAAAAATTACGAACAACTCTTATATCATTCAATACAAATTCTAAATTTTTTATCTTATCATTACTTCATTTTTTGTGCCAACAATCTCACGTCTTTTAGACTTTCTTCTAATTTTTAATTCTCTTACATATCAATACTTGTTTAACAATATTTTTTTTTTTTTTTGAACTTTTGTAATTTGTTGACTTTCTTACACATCAATTGTCTATACAAATTACCATTTGAAAATATAAAATAAAATAAATTATCTGTACAAATAAATCACTCACTCTAAAAATCATAAATAGTGTTTTGATATTTTCTTGAGCGTATTGCAAGTCAAGTAAAAATAATAATTTTAAATAAAAATTATTAATATTGTATTAATATCATTAGACTAAAAAGGAATTCTCACACTACTTTTGAGTAACTTACTCAAATTTTCTATTTTTTATTTTAAAAAAAGAGAAAAAAAAAAAAAAAATTTCTTTTTTCTTAGGGTACGTGACACATGCCAATCAAATCAGAAGTGCAATTCAAAAAAAAAATCTCAAAAACTTATTTTTTGAATTCCTACCAACACCGGTTGCTTGGATAACGTTTTGGTTGATAAAGTTTTAACCCAATATATACTTAAAAAAAAAAAAAAAAGTTTGATTGCACTTGTTTTATTAATATGTTTGCATCTATCATAATGTCCCTATTATCAACCCAATACTTTATTATACTCACAAAGTTTGATTGCACTTTTCTTATATATTGATATTGTTGATATATATCATGATGTCCCTACCCTAGTAGCTTCATTTCGTAGTGCCAATAATTGACAGAAAGTGCAATAATACAAATAGAACTTTTAGTATCATAAATTTGTGGCTGTTGTACAATTTCAAATTGCATCATTTCTATGTATCTTTTGTGAATGAAGACCCCTCAATCATTAGGGCGGGAATTAAGGTAACAACTTACTAAATGTAAGGTTCCAAAACTTGAGGCGGCATAGCTAGTTTAAGAAACCTATTATTGAGCATTTATTTACATATATATATATATATACACGGATAGTCTAGTAGATGAGTATTTTCGATAAATTTTGAAGTGTCAAATTTGAACTCTCTGTATTTACTAGTTTAACTTCTAACCCTTCTTACCTTATATATATATATATATATATATATATATATATATATATGGTTATATATATGCCACTCTTTGGCCCTTCTCCAAACAAAAAATTTACAAATTACATGCTTTGAGGTATAAAGTGATGGTAATCTCCATCTTGTTATAATTAGATAACAACTTCTTTTTACTAATAAAATACATTTTATTCTTTTTTTTATCATCAAAGTGATACATGTTCTTCTCAAAATATTACCGTTTAAGATCAACTTTATTCTAATATCTATAACAATTCTTGATTAACGCTTCATTTACTTTGAAAAGAAGGAATAGTGACTTGCGGTATGCATATTTCGTGTTGTGGCCTTTAGGATCATTCAATCTCTGATATTGTTTTGTTGGTTTGTCTCAAATACCACTTTGTTGGAAATAAGTGGAATCGAAAAGAATATATATTTTTGGAAGGTAAGTGAAGAAGGAGGAACACTTGAAAAATCTTTATTTCATTTTATTATTCCACTGTATATCTTTATATAGGTTTAAAAACATAAATCTAAAAGCATCTCCAATGGTTGTCTATATTTTTTTTTTTTGGATAAATCTGAGTATCATAATAAATTTATACAAAATATTTGTACTAATTTTTAGCTCCAACCATTATTTTATACCTTTTATATAAAAATATATCCACCAACAACAACCAACCGTGGTATTTCCAAAACCCCCCACATAACTTTTACAAATATGCTTCGTTCACTTTATTTTTTCGTTATTAAACAATTTCACTTTCCTTTCCCGCCAATAGCATACCCTTTCTGCCAATGATTCACTATGTTACCTGTAAGAGTGAGAAACACAGAGGCGCAGAGGCACATTATGAGAAAGAAGAGAGAAAAGTGCAAATGGGAAAGAGCTGGTTGATTTGTTGATGGGATGAGAGAGGGAATATGTTAATGTCATCGTGTAAAAAACATTACAATTTTATACATTGCGTATTTAAAAAAAAAAAAAAAAAAAAGAAAAAAAGAAAAAGGAAAGGTCTTTTAATATAGTGTGATTATCAGATGTTGATGTATGGAGTCAATTTCTTTGGGTACGATGTTATAATCTGTTTTTGGAAGTTAATGGGTTGATTGAAAGGTAAGATGAATCCAAATAGCAATAATGATCCCAAACGTATCCCAACGAGTCATCTCCAAAATCTAAATCCATAATAACTCCACATAAACGTGTGCCAAGCCAAGCCACTCAATTATTTCTCTAAACTTCAAATTATTAAGCTAAGTTCAATCACAATAATAAATCATAGAAACGTAAACTTAAATAAAATTAATTACACATTTGCATGATGTGTTGTTAGAGTTGTTGATTGGGACCATCTCAACTACTTAATAACTTTTCAACCTTGAATCAACAAAAGTCCAATATTGCTTTGTTTTACTTAATATTTCTTTGATTCATGTGTTTTACTTATTTGTGTTTCTTAATTTGTTGAAGCTATGGATTACACTGCTGATTTGCTCAAGGAAATTGAGATGTCTAAACTTTTTTCTCTCCTTTATTTCTCATTCCTCAATATAAATAATACTAAGAGTCTGTTTGAAATTGCTGTTAGAATGATGAAAGCACTTTTAATAGTTGAATTGTCACAAAATTGCTGTAAGTAAAAAACATGTTATGTGTTTGGTGATTCATTTTGTTTGGTAACAATACTATTCAAAGCACTTTTATTACTAATTTACTAATATATTAGACATACAATAATAATGGCATGATTACTAATTATAAAACTAATTTAAATACACGTTACAACTATGCATACTATAATCTCTGTGCCTTATTAGATATATTCCGATGAGGAATGAGTCTCCACAACACAATGTTGCTTTTGTGGGAACTATGCATACTATAATCTCTGTGCCTTGTTAGATATAATGAGAACAGTGTCAATGATGTAGATAAGTAAAGAAAAAAAATTGTATTTATAAAGAAAAGTGAGGAATTAACTACCTCTATGTGGAACGCAATTACAAAAACTTTATTTTATGAAATATCTACTGCCCAAACGCACTAAATCGAGAAAAACATGTAGTATTTTTTTTATTTCAATATTGCTTTGTTTTAACACTAAATTATGCCAAATAAGCCCAATATATATAGTGTTGGCTTGGCATTATCTTTTTCAAATTAGCAGTTCTCACAAAGATGATGACCATCTTTTATTTGACATTAATTTTTAGTCTCATCTATAAGTCGTTGAATAGAGATATATAGTAATGATATATCCTCTAAATATGGAGGATGCCAAGTATAATTTATGTGAGTGGAAACGTGGATCTTATTGCATTATATCACTGTGATATCATGTAATGGTTCCCATGTCCCAATCATCTCATTCCGAATCCTCCAATTCGGAGGATGTATCATATTTTCCTATAGATACAAGAGTTCAGTCAAGTATAAAAAAATTAAAATATGTGAACTCATTGTTTTAGGCTTAAACCTGGCCCATTTTTTTTTTTTGGGTCTGGGACAGGCCCAATCAAGCTGGGTCTAATATGCTCAATTGAGCTCAATCATATTAACATGGGAGGTGCACTCCACATTGGCTTTAATTATCTTTGATTGCTTGAATCATAGGACTCTTTGATTCAGTTTTTGAAACTTCTAAAAACAAAAATAGTTTTAAGAGAGTTATAGACCACTGATAATTAGGTTTTTCTGAATGTTTTCATGTAACAATTTCAAAAAAACAATTCCTAAATTTTTTTTGTTCTAGTTTCTCCAATAGTATAAAACCATTTTTCAGAAAATTAAACTAAACAAGCTCATAGATGATATATAGCTCAAGAGAAATAATGGACATCAGTGCTAGTTTTGGAAATTGATTTACAAACACCTTTCCTTCCAAAATGAGGGAAGGAACTTCCCATATTTCCTTCAAAAGGAAAGGTACATCTCTCCTCCCTTCCCCCTTCTTCCATTCTTCCTCCACCAAATAAGAAATTATTACATGGTACGGGACTACATGATCCCGACCAATCACAACAGTTACAAAATTCTAAATAAAGCTAACACGTGTTTGTATGTCAAATTATGATTGACCAGGACCATAAATAAACCTAACACGTGTATGCGTGACAAACTGTGATTGGTCGGGACCATCTAGTGCGGAACCATAAAAAAATTTCTCAACAGATATTAAAGCACGAGTACCCAGTCCCACCACCTAGTATTGGGGCAGACATAAAAAATGAGACCATTCAGAGATTAAAAGCCCAATTCCCCACACTGACCCTACATAAAAACTGGGATCATTTTATTGGCTTCTTTGACTTTCATGGTTTCATGCTTGCTGATTTTATGTCCACTGGTTTATTGGACAAAATAGTTGTTACCCATAGCTTCTTTTTGGATAGCATCAACAAAAGCTTTTTCTGAGTCAATCAAAAGAGCCTGATTAAATGAACAGTACTCTTCAGTCCTAAATTTTTTACAACTTTGCAAATGATTCTTAGTTAATAAAAGCACTACAAATGACTCTTAGATCACAAGAATCTGGAAGAGCATTCTACCAACCTTGGAAATTAGATTCCATCGCTTCAATGAAGTTCATATAACTTTAAAAATTGAAATGCAGCCGAAATTAAACCAGGTAAAGAAAGGGCCTTCTATGAGGAAATTCGAGGATAAACACAAATTGCAAGCAGATGGGAAACTTCAGCTAGTTTTATATTCTGGTGGTGAATCCAAAAAAGCTATTTCCGTCCCCATAAATGAAACAAGAAGAAAGCCGAGAGAGAGAGAGGAGAGAGAGCCCCAATGGTGAAAGAAGGAAAGCAGAAAACAAAATATTGACTTCTGAAAGGCTACAAACACATTTAATTTAATTTAACCTCTCGTTCCTCTTCAATACCAGGTTCTGTTGCTTGGCCTGATGTCCGTTTATCTTTAGCTGAAATAATGCCTTGATGACCACCTACCGCATGCATTTGATTACCAGTATCAGTGAATACATTAGAGGCATTCAACAAACACATGGAGAAAATAGAAGAGTTGCATTTTAAGATTTGCAGCATGTGAAGATGCATTTTCTTTACATGAATAGACTCATAACCAAGTAAAGCATGTTTTACAATAGGCAACAAGGAAAATTGGAGAAGCAACTAGGAGGCGGACGGTTTTGGCAAGTCTAGGTCATAACTGTAATGGAGTGTGTGTTGAATACGGTGATATCTCCCCCTATTTTAGATGCAAGAGGGCATTGGAGGAGCTTCTAAGATCATGAAACCAGGGTCATGCCTAAAATCATGAAACGGCACATCACTGGAATTGCTTATACATATATATATTAGAAAGAAAGAAAAGGGTACCTATAAATACCATCCAGATCAAGTCAGACTCTTTACAATGAATAAACATTCTGAAGTTTGCCTAGCTCAGGGGATTTCCTACTTCATTAAGACAAGGTGCAGAGTTCAAGTAATAATAGTAGTCATGGAATTGGGTGGTGTTTATGTGTACGAAAATGACTATGCCCGTTGTGTAGCCCATACCTTTTGACTGAAAAAAAAAGAGATAACCAAAAGAGATAACCAAGAATCAGCACACTACATCCTGGAGGATCAGGTTAGAGGATCACCTGGCACCATTGAGATTCGATCACCAGAGCCAAACCCTTGACTGGGACTCCCTGTGACAAGTAACCTCCTATGGAAATCTCGCGGTAAGGCAAAGTTACTGGCCACGCCAGTTTCATTCTCTCCTCTCGGGATATAACTTTCACCAGGGGATGGCCGCACAGCAGACTTTGGCAAGTAAGTTGTGGACCAAGATCCTCCATTTGATCCAGCTAAAGCCATTATAACATCTGCCTGAAATAGATCAGGAGGCAAACTGGTCATGTCATGTGTGAGTAGCAATCCAGATTCTGAATTTTAATGATGAAACTTACATGTCAACAGACTAACAGTAGTCTAAAAGCCGTGAGAAGAAGAAAAATGTATGAAATACCCAAGATCTGGCATATATTTCTTTAGTGTGAACTTCACGGCTATCTTGGATTATTGCAAGTGATATGTTATTTAGTAGTTAAGTATAGAGTGTGAAAATGTTTATGATGTTTCAAATTTAGCTCGCAATACAATAATTTCATCCATCAATAGATATCTCAAGAATCACATTTATGAACTTCTCAAACCAAAACATCCAAATGTTGAAAAATGGTAGTATGTGGTGGGTGCAACAGACAAGCAACTGCACCATAGAGAAGCCCAACAAACTCCAAGCATGAATTCCCTCCCTTGACGGGATACACTTCTAAATTTAATTGCTCCGAAAACAAAAATAGGCTCGATGATCCTTATTAAGAGACACCTTAAACCATACCAAATGTATCAAGATAAGGGTGCAAATTTGTTAAATCAAATATGCAGTAGCATTATGTATATTTTTAATTGAAATTCTATTTAAGTGGCAATAAATATTAAATAGAACGCAACTTTCTCAGAATATTTTGTATACATTCATTAAACTAAATTTAAAAGAACAATATGTAACATAATATAAAGAAAGCAGGCCAGTATATAAAAGCAATAGAACAAAATAATAGCAATCAAGAATAATCGAAACAGTTCTTAAACTAAAAGAGGGTAAAAAAGTTCTGGTCTATAGAACATAAAGAGGCACACAATGTTGTGATGTCCTAAAGCCTTTGTGGACTCCCTACATGTAAGTGATGATGAACCACAGAAGGCTCTAAAGTCCTCTATGAGCATGTTAACAGATGTTTAATCATCAAGTCTTGATGTCACATTGCTGAAGATTGAATATATATTGCAAAAGGTATAAAACAAAAATTCTAGGGTTGCAAAGACGGAAACAGAGAATTATTAGGATTGCAAAGGTGAGAGTGAGCAGATTGTTGCACACAAGGAAAGAATGTAATCTGCATGTATAATTTACTGAACAAGCCTGCCTCTTGTAGGTTATATAGGCTAGCTTGACGTTTATTGTAAATAAGTGTTTATTTAGTTACGTTGTTACAGTAATGACCTTTGCCTGTTCTGATCATTAAAAGATTATATCCTAGAATGTGTTGTGTGTATTTAGTTTGTTCAACAAGGGTTGCAGTATTTCAACTTTTTGAACATCGACTGTTTTGAACGTTCAATGATTATAAACTTTTGAATTTATAATCAAAAGAAATTCAAAAGTATGGCCCAAGGAGCTACAACTCTGGTCAACTAAGTATGGAGCACAAATAGTGCAAGTGTATATAAACATAATAATACTCGTATAAATCCCAAGGGGGCAAGCAAAGTAATAAAAACTTCACCCTCTAAAACTTCGACTCATTTTCCCTTTTCTCATGTTCTTAAATTATCAGTTGTCATTCTGAAAAAGATCCAGATCCTTGTATTGATGATAAAGATCTAAGAAGCACGGACACTCCAAAATGGGCGAAGAATCCGTGTCTGACACGTGTCGGACACGGACACGTGACGGACACGCCAAAAAACGTGTCTGGAATTTTTTTATTTTTTTTTATTTTCGGACACGGCTTGGACACGGCTCGGACACGGCTTGGACACGGCTCAGACAGCTCGGCCACGGCTCGGACAGCTCAGACACGGCTCGGACACACTTTTCTGGATTTTTTTTTTTTTTTTTAATTTTTAATGCTGATATGTTAATTTTTTTTTTTTTTTTTTTTTTTTAATTTTTAATGCTGATATGTTCTATTTTTTGTTTTGTACTACCCTAAAGATGCTGATATATATATATACTAACCTAAAGATGCCACAATTCGCCGTGTCCGTGTCCGTGTCCTAAAGATGCTGATATATATATATACTAACATATCAGTGATATATATATATATTCCAACCTAAACATATCAGTGTTTTTTTTTAAAAAATTATTAATGCTGATATATATATATATATATATATATATATATATATATATATATATACTATTCGCCGTGTCCGTGTCCTAATTTTTTTGGATTTGCCGTGTCGCCGTGTCCGTGTCGTGTCGTATCCGTGTCCCGTATCCGTGTCCGTGCTTCTTAGATAAAGATTCATAGGCTCAAGCTTACATGAGCTTGTATTGGTTCAAGACCAAAATAGTTGGAAATTGATGTCTTGTAACTGTTAGAAGTTATATTACTTGTCTTTCAACTTGCTATAATATGCACCTATGTCCTTGTGACCAACCTCACGTTTAGCCCATCTGATTAGAACTTGCTAAAACTAAAAAAATGCCCCTTTATAATAATATTATTTAATGTTAGATAGGTTGTTATCTTACTAGCGATCGATGACTCATTACTGCCCCGTATTACTTTTATAATTTTAAAATAATAATTATAGCTTTTAATTTAATATTAAATAGCAAGGTTAAATTTGACATTTCACAACCCATTTAACGGGTTGGACACGGGTTTGGGGGTAACATGACAAGTTTTGTTAGTTCAGGGCTTTTTTTAATTATACTCGGGGTTTTGTGCACGATTTTGAAAGTAGATGCGGGTTTTATGATTTTAACTTTTTTTTTAAATACTTAATATTTGAAAAGCCAAATTTCAAAAACGTATTTAAAACAAAACTTTGCGCCTCTCCAAGATCAAACTAGATCATTTAAGGTTTTTATAAGATTGATTTACATGTACCCAATAAATGTGATTTGAGCATGCTAATGCCTAGTTGTGTCCTTTGCCAACCTTTATCTGTGTTGTCTTCAATGGTTGGGTACTCGTATGACTCATGACTACCCATAGTTTTGAGTAGGACATAACAACATACGACTCATATACCCAACAATCTTCCCCTCTGGCAATTCTAAAACAAAACTTAAAATACATACATAAAAATGACTGACTCACTGGAAAACCCAATCACCTTACATTAATTGACTTACAAACCCAATAACCTTACTCTATCAACTTATAACAAAAAATATATATATTTTAAATATTCATCATCTATCTTCATATTGATTGACTCAATCAACTTTTTAGTTCTTAGTTAAAGACATGATGAACCCCTATTGTTTGAAGCATAGCCCAAAAAGTAACTTTCATCGTTATGAGAATCAAACTTTTCTAGATCTTCTGTATTTCTTAAAACATCACTTACTATAAAAAAAATTGAAGTACTTTAAGTTAGGCTTTTATTGTACCCCAATTTATAAGAGGTCTTATTAGTGTTAGGCCTCAAATAAACTCTATTTAGGATATGACAACGCAGTACTTACAGCTTCTGTCCAAAAATGTTGAGCTAGACCACTCGAATGTAACATTGCATGTGTCACTTCTCGCATTACCCTATTTTTCCTTTCAATTAAAACATTTTGCAGTGGTGTACCCACAGCAGAGAATTCATGCTTTACACCTAGGTTGCTCACAATATCAATGCATTCTTCTAAGATAAACTCTATTTAGGATATGACAACGCAGTACTTACAGCTTCTGTCCAAAAATGTTGAGCTAGACCACTCGAATGTAACATTGCATGTGTCACTTCTCGCATTACCCTATTTTTCCTTTCAATTAAAACATTTTGCAGTGGTGTACCCACAGCAGAGAATTCATGCTTTACACCTAGGTTGCTCACAATATCAATGCATTCTTCTAAGAATTCTCTACCTCGATTACTCCTAATTAAGTCAAATTTTTAACTTTTTCATTTTGAATTCTTTGACAATTTGATTTAAAATTACCATAAGTATCTGATTTTTCTCTCAAGAATGCTATCCATATATACCTAGATAAGTCATCTACCATTACTAAAATATACTTTCTGCCACCTATACTTTCTATATGTATTGGACCCATCAAATCCATGTGATCAAGTGAGTTAGATGTATTTATAGTTCAGAGTCTTCTGTCTTTAATGCCATAAGATTATAGCATCTCTTTGACAACTGCATTATTTATTATTCTAAAATTCAACTAGCTTTTCGATCTTAATTTTCACTTTTTTAATTCAACTTCCTAGACTGTGTAGCTTCTAATTCTAGAGCCTTTATCTTGCTAATCAATACACCTTTTACATTCTTTAAGTTTAGTCAGCAAGATTGTTGAAGTAGCAATTTCTAACTTATTCTTCTCTGATTTAATTTCCATTGCCCTTAATTTGTTCAACAACTCAGAATTTTCAAATTTTAAACTCAAGAAATCATTATGTAATTCCGCAAAAGCTAGCCTAAATAGATAATTTTCACCACATTCAAAATTATGCTCATTATGAGATGATATATTTTTCAATTCATCATTAGAAACATCACAAATAGAATTATCATGCTTTAACAAGTTTAATTTCCTTCAGTGCCACTATTAGAAGAAGTATAAACTAGAGTGATTTTAATGCATCAAATTTTCAAAGTTAACATTTTTATCATAAAACACAAAATTAACCCTTTTTTTTTTTCCGAGTTCAAAATTAACCCATTTTATCTTCTTAATATCCATATTCTTCCTATAGATCAACTCTCTATGTTAAGTAACTTGCTCTGATACCAATTGACAATAGTGACCGTTACCAAGGCTTTGATCATGTCAGAGGAAGAACGGTGAAATAGACCAAGAGGGGGAGTGAATCGGTCTTATGGATACTAATTTAAAATTTCAGTTTTTTTTTAGGTAGTTATATAACTTATATGATGATTGTGATTTGAATTTTTAGCTTCCGATTGTTAGTTTTTAAATTCAACCATCGCATACTGAATCATGCATCCATAAAAACTAAAGAAAGAGCAGAGACACTAAACTTTTACGTAAAAACCCTATTTTTAGGCAGTTATGATGATTGTGATTTGAAGTTTTAGCTTGCAATAGTTAGTTTTAAAATTCAACTTTACATTCATAATC